ATCAGGGAAATCCAAATCAAAACCTCAATGAGATACCACCTCACACCAGTCAGAATGGCTAAAATTAACAAGTCAGGGAACGACAGATGTTGGCGGGGATGTGGAGAAAGGGGAACCCTCCTACACTGTTGGTGGGAATGCAAGCTGGTGCAGCCCCTCTGGAAAACAGTATGGAGGTTCCTCAAACAGTTGAAATTAGAGCTACCGTTCGATCCAGCAATTGCACTCCTGGGTATTTACCCCAAAGATACAAATGTAGGGACCCGAAGGGGTACGTGCACCCCAATGTTTATAGCAGCAATGTCCACAATAGCCAAACTGTGGAAAGAGCCAAGATGTCCATCGACAGATGAATGGATAAAGAAGAAGTGGTATATATACACAATGAAATATTATGCAGCCATCAAAAGGAATGAGATCTTGCCATTTGCAACGACGTGGATGGAACTGGAGGGTGTTATGCTTAGTGAAATAATTCAATCAGAGAAAGACATGTATCATATGACCTCACTAAAATGAGGAATTCTTAATCTCAGGAACAAACTGAGTGTTACTGGAGTGGGTTGGGGGTGGGAGGGATGGGGTGGTTGGGTGATAGACATTGGGGAGGGTATGTGTTACGGTGAGCGCTGTGAATTGTGCAAGACTGTTGAATCACAGATCTGTACTTCTGAAACAAATAACGCAACATATTTTAAGAAAAAAGAAAAGAAGAAGATAGCAGGAGAGGAAGAATGAAGAGGAGTAAGTCAGAGGGGGAGAGGAACCAGGAGAGATGATGGACTCTGAAAAACAAACTGAGGTTTCTAGAGGGGAGGAGGGTAGGGGGATGGGTTAGCCTGGTGATGGGTATTAAAGAGGGCACATTCTGCATGGAGCACTGGGTGTTATGAACAAACAATGAATCATGGAACACTACACCAAAACAAATTATGTAATATATGGTGATTAACATAACAATAAAAAATTAAGAAAAAGAGTTAGTTGCTTTTATTACTGTTATTATGATCACCAGGAATGCACTTTTTATTACCATATCCCTAATGTTTAATTCAGCCATTTGAGCATTCATCATTACTGCTGAAAGCGTGCACCTTTACAAAGCATTTTCTGAAGTGCTCTTTTCATATCACTGTTCCTTAGACTGTAGATGAAAGGATTCAGCATTGGAGTCACCAATGAATACATAAGGGCTAAAATTGTTCAACTTTTAGGGACAAAAGAGGAGGAGGGACTGAAATAGACAGTGCTTGCTGTGCCATAGAACACCACCACCACTGATAGGTGGCAGCCACAGGTGGAGCAAGCTCTCTGTTTCCCCTGAGTACATGTGATCTTCAGGATCGTGGAGAAGATCAGTCCATAAGATATGAGGATGCATATAAAGGGAGTGAGAGCAAATAGACCTCCTACTATAAAAATAACCATCACACTGCGGGATATATCAGAGCAAGAGAGCTGCAGGAGGGGGTTGAGATCACAGAAGAAATGGTGCATGATATTGGAAGCACAGGACAGATGTGCCATTAAAACAGTGTGTAAGAGGGCATAGAGATAGGTGACAAGCCAGAGCCCAGCCACTAGCCAGACACAAAGGTGGGGATTCATAATGGCAATATAATGTAAAAGGTGGCAAATTGCCACGTACCTATCATATGCTATCACACACAGAAGAAGGCTGTCCCTATTCACAAAAGCAATGAAGAAGAAAAAGTGGCTGAGGCACCCTACAAAAGAAATAGTCTGTGTATCAGTTAAGATGTTCACTATCATTTGGGGAATAGTAGAGGAGGAAAAACAGATGTCCACAAAGGCCAAGTTACTTAAGGAAGAAATGCCTGGGTAAATGGAGGTGAGAGTTAAAGCCAACAACCAAGATGATGATGAGCATGTTGCCTGATACAGTCATTAAATACATACAGAGAAATAGCACAGATAAGAAATATTGCTGCTCTGCTGATCCAGAAAGTCCCAGAAGGATGAATTCTTTGATGACTGTTAGATTTCTTGTTTCCATCTTCCCAACAAATCTAGAAAAGGAAAATATTAAATTGTGGAGACCAGAAATGTTAAATATCTCACCCACAGGGGTGTGTGTGTGTGTGTATGTGTGTGTGTGAAATACAGTACCATGTAAATTACTTTTCCTTGCCAATTACATCTTGTGCTTATGATATTGTCTGTATATTCACATAGGTGGGTTGGGCATAATACTCTAAACTTTTTCTTTATTTTTTAAGACTTTATTTATTTATTTATTTGACAGAGAGAGAGACATAGCGAAAGAGGGAGCACAGCAGGGGGAGTGGGAGAGGGAGAAGAAGGCTTCCCACAGAGCAGGGAGCCCGATGCAGGGCTCGATCCCAGGACCATGGGATCATGACCTGAGCCGACGGCAGATGCTTAATAACTGAGCCACTCAGACACCCCACTCTAAGCTTTTTTCAAGAAATAATAATTTATTCTTTTCAAGAAATAATAGCTTCTTTCCCCCAAACAAAAGTGCAAATTCTGTGAATAATAACTTAAATTGTGCCAATAATGTTGCTTTGTCTATATTAATCATATAATTCATTTTTGACTTTACACCTACAATTCTTACTTTATCAGTCATGCTATTTATGTACTCTAACCCAGTGGAAATATTTACTTTCAATGAGTAATTTTCCTCCCAATCTGATGTCCATATCCATGGATACAGATCTCATTTCAGTTTGTTTTCTTCTTATAAGTACAACATTTGCACAATTCTTCCTTGGGCTGACTACCATTTCTTTGGTCTCTTTCTGGTCATGTGATACAGCCTCTGGTTACTGTGGAAAGTCATCTGAAGCGTGGTGTTTGTGGCTGGGGGTTTCAGCCCCCTTCCTCACAGCAGCTCATGCACACTACTTTCTCTAGAGGCAGTAAGAATATTATTTCACACCTAATTTTTTCATAAAGTATCTTGCTGCTTGCAGCCCCTCATTACACTCTTCAAATTCTCACCTAAAGGTGATTCCAAGGAGCACCACTTCATTTCTACACAAATACAGTTAATTAATACTAAAGAACACAGTACTGTGCATTTGTTTCTGCCACATTTTGAATTCCAACTTCATTATGAGCCACAATTAAACCTTAGAAATTTATCTGCTCTGAATCCTCTATAATTCACTTAATTTTCTTGCATCCCTTTTACCCAATCTGAGGCATTTCATGATAAAACCTGTACTAAGAAGAAATATAAATCCCCATATATGCATTCCTTTGAGTAAGGCATATCCTTTCAGAGATGGCTTTCCTTCACTGCAAGCAAGGTCAGCTATGCCATTTTCCTCAATCGCATAATTATCCCTCTTATACCAAGCATAGCAATTTGTTTTTGTTGTTGTTGTTGTTGTTGTTTTTGCCTGTTTTATTGTGGTCAGTGATATTTTGTCAGAATTTTGATTTATTATGTTGAAATCCTTAGTAAGATACACACACACACACACACTACATGACTCTGTGTAGTATATATACTTAATATATAACATATGCACATATAAATTGTGTATAATTTGCATGAAATGGTGCTTATGAGAACAAAAGTAAATGAAAAATTCTGGAATAAAATACACACACACACATATGATTGTGCTTACTCCATTTTAAGCCAAGGAAGTATGGGGGTTTTGGGGAAGACACTTCTATATTCTTCTATAGAACATAATGTTAATTCCAGAATTTTTTCTTAACCAGGATTTATTAAAAATTTACTCTGACATTGAAATATTTAACAGATTAATTTAAAAATGTTTTACATTTTAAAATTTAGGGAATCAACACATTAGATATGCCTGCAAAAATTTTTAAAAACTATCGACACATATCTTCTTCTTTGAGACCTTTTACCAATCAAAAATTTCCTCCCTACTATATATCCATTGGGCCTGTGCACTCATTCAGATTCCTCATTGAGGGTGAAAAAGGAAGGAATAATGAGATATAGATAAGCATGTATCACTCTACAGAGAATTATAGTATATTACTGTGGGAGTGGGAGTACTCCCTTCTTAAAATATATTTACTTATACAAAGAGACAAGCCTTGAACCAAGACACCATTTTCTCCCTTCAGGTCAGCATACCAGAGGCTATACAAAATTCCAGATTCATCTTCTAATGAATTCTATCTTTTTTGTGAATTGTTTATTTTAATATTTTTTAAATATTTTTCTTTATTATTTTTTCTTTAATATTAGTTTTAAGTTCATAAATATTGATGATGTAAACCATATAAACAGAAAGTCTTTGTGGGGTCTTCATTATTTTAAGTTACATTTTAATTCCAAGTAGTTAACATAGAGTGTCATATTAGTTTTAGGTGTACAATATAGTAATTCCACAGGTCCATAACCACCTTGTGCTCATCATGACAAGTGCACTCCTTAATCCCCATGACCCAACTCCAACATCAACTTGAATGCCATACATTTAAATAACCTTTATATATAAAACCTTTATATATATAGTGTACATGTACATAATTTTTTCAAACACAGGAGAAAAACTCTATATTATCAATTGTAAGATACAATATAATGTAGACTCATTTACATCAACATTTAGTGACAATTTATGCCTCAGGTGTCACATAATGTGACCAATTTAACAGGTTCTGTGAAATTATTTTAAACATCAGTTCTTTTAGCACATCTCTTGTAGGAGGTCCTCGGACTTCTAGAAAACACTTCAATGTTAGAAAGCTGGAAAAAAAAACAGAAATCAACTCTTATTAATTATTAATTCATTAATGTGTGTGGTGCACTATGAAGTGGCTTTACACATTATTTCATGTAACATTTACAATAACTTTAAGACCTTAAATGTTAGAAAGAAAGGGAATGTAGTGTAAGTGCCTGACATTAAGCTTTCCATTGCCAAAGCAACTATTTAGAAGACATCCATCTTGAATAAATATATTGCCAGCTTCCTGACACAGCCACTAGCTAAACAACTATAAAAGAAACAAAACTACTCCTTGAAGTCCCCCATTTAGAAAGCCCTGAGTAACCTAGACAACTGGTCACTTGAGTGACCCCACATTTCACTTATCCTAATTTCCACTCATGTTTTAAATTTTCTAGTAAATAGTAAACCCAGACAATCCTAGGCACCTTACCCTTGACTCCAAAAAATCAGAGCCTCTCCCCAGACACTCCTCATGTGTGTGTGTGTGTGTGTGTGTGTGTGTGTGTGTGTGTGTGTGTGTTTGTGTTAGGGGCAGTGGATATTGGAAATCAGAATGTGTTCTGGGTCTGGTAGTAAGGAATTAAAATTATAAACATGACTGGAGAACTCCAAATCTAAGTGGTGAGATATTGGTCTGTAAGTCTCCTTTTTGATGGGGTCTTTGCCTGATTTTGGGTTCAGGGTAATGCTGGCCTCATAGAAGGAGTTTGGAAGTTTTCCTTCCTTTTCTATTTTTTGGAACAGCTTCAGTAGAATAGGTATTATTTCTTCTTTAAATGCTTGGTAGAATTCCCTTGGGAAGAGGTCTGGCCCTGGGTATTTTTTTTTGCAAGATTTTTGGCTACTGCTTCAATTTGGTTACTGGTTACTGGTCTATTCAGATTGTCTATTTCTTCCTGTTTCAGTCTTGGTAGTTTATAATTTTCCAGGAAGGCATCCATTTCTTCCAGGTTGCTTAATTTGTTGGCATATAGTTGCTGGTAATAATTTATTTTTTTAAAGATTTTATTTATTTGACAGAAAAGAGCAGAAGCAGGAGGAGCAGCAGGCAGAGGGAGAGGGAAAAACAGGCTGCAGGGAGCCTAATGCGGGGCTCAACCCCAGGACCCTGGGAACATGACCCGAGCTGAAGGCAGATGCTTAACTGACTGAACCACCCAGGCACCCCTAATTTCTAATAATTGTTTCTATTTCCTGGGTGTTAGTCGTGATCTCTCCCCTTTCATTCATGATTTTTTTTTTAATTTGGGTCATTTTTCTTTTCTTTTGGAAAAGTCTGGTCAGTGGTTTATTGATCTTATTAATCCTTTCAAAGAACCAGCTTCTAGGTTCTTTTATCTGTTCTACTGTTTTTCTGGTTTCTATTTTGGGGTCTCTGCTCTAATCTTTATTATTTCTCTTCTCCTGCTTGGTTTAGGTTTTGTTTGATGTTCCTTCTCCAGGTGCTTTAGATGTAAGGTTAGCTTGTACATTTGGGATTTTTCTAGTTTTTTGAGAAAGGCTTGGATGGCTATGTATTTCCCCCTGAGGACTGCCTTTGCAGTATCCCATAGGTTTGGGGCTGAAGTGTTTTCATTATCATTGGTTTCCATGAATAGTTTGTTTTTCTTTAATTCCCTGGTTGACCCAATCATTCTTTAGCAGCAGGGTCTTTAACTTGCAAGTGTTTGAATTCCTTCCAAATCTTTTCTTGTGATTGAGTTTCAGTTTCAAGATATTGTGGTCTGATAACAAGCAGGAAATAATCTCAGTCTTTTGGTATTGGCTGAGACCTGATTTGTGACCCAGTATGTGGTTTATTGTGGAGAAATTTCCATGTGCATTTAAGAAGAATGAGTATTCTGTTGTTTTAGGTTAGAATGTTATATATATATATATATATATATATGAAGTCCATCCGGTACAATCTGTCATTCAATGCCCTTGTTTCTTTGCTGATCTTCTGTTTAGATGATCTGTCCGTTGCTGAGAGTGGAGTGTTAAAATCTCATACTATTAGCGTATTATTATCAATATGATTCTTTATTTTGGTTAACAGCTGGCTTATAGTTGGCTGCTCCCATTTTGGGGGCATAGATATTTACAGTACTTAGATTTTTTCATTGGATAGAGCCTTTAAGAGTGATATAGTGTCCCTCTGCATCTCTTAATACAGTCTTTGATTTAAATTCTAATTTGTCTCATATAAGAATTTCTACCCCAACTTTCTTTTGAGGTCCGTTGGCTGAAAAATTGTTCTCCATCCCCTCACTTTCAGTTTGGAGGTGTCTTAAGTTCAAAATGAGTCTCTTGTAGGCAATAT